GACGGAGTATTATAATTATATTGAACAAATGTGTGAAAATGAGTACTACGTTATTCCAAAATGAGTATTACCTTATTTCAGAATGTGTACTACATATTTCAAAATCAAAGCATATATTTATACAAGAATGAGTATTGTTTTAATTCAGAATGAATACTAACTAGTTGTACCTTTCTCTAAGTACAACCGGTTGTACCATATACTTGCTCTTCTAATTGGGATTCATGCTAGTACCCCTTTGTACACCATTGATCATGAAGTGGTTGTCATTTTCCGGCCATTTTTCTGACGAATAAGGGGGCATTTGCACCTATTTTCCAATATAATTCGTCAGATTATCACAGTGCGAACTCTTATTTAGAAACTAAAAATATGGAACTCATATTTTGATACTTTTCTATGTTTTCCTCCTATTTATTTGATTTTTTTAAAAAGAAACTACAAAAAAAAGTTATGTTTAAAATTTCTAGAATTTAAAATTTAAAATTTACTCCCTCTGTCCACCATAGATCTTCCCAGACACTATTCACAGGGTCAAACTTTACTCACTTTATTTGCTCATTTTTACTAGTCATTTTGTAAAATAATATAGTCTTGTCACCTCTAGTTTTGTAGAACTTTTTATGTAGCTTATTACTATATAAATTTTATTTTAAAATATTACTCCTATAATCAATTAAATTGAATTGAAAATAAAGTTGGTCAAGCCTCGTAACGCATAACGGGAAGAACTTAGGTGGACGGTGAGAGTAAAATTTATCAAGAATATGGGGTGTATAGCGTTTTTATCAAGAAATGTGTTCTAAAATTTCTTCCAAGTCTATGATTAGGATTTAGGAGGAGGGATAGATGTTACTTAAAGGTGAAGTGATCGTGATCCAACACCCAACACACACTTCTCGAAAATTTCACATCTTCTGTTTGATCGGCGCTTCATTCCATCTTTTCAATCTCACGTGCGCTTAATTGTGGTCTGCTTGGGGTCCTTATTTAATTATACTCTTTCATTTCTGTTGAACTTAAAATAATTTTTTAAGTTATGAGAAAAATATAGTACTGTATGAATTAAAAATAATTGAGATTGTTTTAAGATATAGTTTTTGTATATTTCAATTCAATTTTTTTAACATTTATTAATTTAAAACTATATATAAGTTGTTGTTTAAAGTAACCTAAAATCAAATTAGGACAAATAAATTGGCAGTGAGGTAGTGCTCTTCTTGCTCCTCTATCCCTAATGTTATTTTTTCTTTAATTCATTTCTTATGTGTAGTGTATTGTCTTTGAGTTCAAAAAATTAGCATCCAAATCTTTCCAATTGCTTCTAATCTCTTTCCGCTTTTTCCAATAACGACTTGAAAAATTAAAGTACTTTAATTTGAATTTATATATGATGAATATATAATGGGAAGGGTTTAAAAGAAGAGGGAGTAATATCATATGTCCAAATTTATAACATATCATGTCAAACACAGACAACAATGAAATCTTTTATATCTAAAACTTATTTTCTTATAAATTTATTTATTTATTTGTTTTTAACATTTTCCAACCCCTTCTATTTTTTTCATAATCGCCCTGCTCGTATATAGGTTTATTTTTTAACTTTAAATTGATGGTTTGAACTTTGAACGTTGTCCTAGTTGAATAAACGTAATATATGCCGATTTCATTTTATTAATTGAACAATAAAAATACATCCACAAACAAAAGTTGTTGAAAACCTCAAATAATAAAGGAGAAAACTATTTTGAGATAAAGACTATGCAGAGAGTGCTCTGTTCAACTTATTTTTTCTGCTTATTACTTATTCTTATTATAATCAGATCATATTAGAACATATCAGATCGGATCAGAAACAACTTTAATTATATTTGCAATCAGATCAGATCATATCAGATGAACGAAACGCAGTCTAAATGTCATGGATAAAAACTTATCCATATTTGAGTTCACAACCATCATATCCATCTCATCTTCTCGTATTAATTAGAGGACCTTTGAAATTTTTTGACCTGCCAAGACAGTAAATTGGAAGAAGCTAAATGATGTTATAATGTAAATATATTATACTCTCTTCATGCCCATTTTGATTACAATATTCTATTTTAGTTTAATTTAATATTAAGTGACATCAAAAAAATCTTTTCCGAATTACCCCAATAGGCCTTGTGATAATGTGTAATGGGTGTGTATTTATTTAAGGTAGTTAGGTAGATGAATAAAATGATCTGGGTATCATAATGTATGGTAGAGATATTAAAGGGGTAATTTTGTCCAAAACATATGTAAATTGGATTATTGTAATCGATTTTGGAACAAAAAGAAGAAATTATGTTGTAATCAAAACTAATACGAAGTAGAATAAGACAGAGAAAGTATGTACGGAGTACTTATGTGGAGAGTATACGACTATACGAGTAGTACTTTTTGCTTGCTAATATAATCCTCAATGTTTTTAGGCGACTACACCAATATGTATTTCTCCATGTAACTCCCATCTTCACACCTCACCTCACATCTTAATTAAGTGTTAGAGAAAATCAATCAAAGGATAATAAGTTAATAACTAATACTTTATCATGGGTGGCCCAGAGGGTGTGCAAAGTGATCAACCGCACAGGGTTCTTAAAATTTTAGGGCCCATATTTTTAAATTTGTTAATAATTTTAAAGGAAAAGTATTCTAAACAAATAAAATAGGGCCCAAAATGTAAATTTAGGACCGGACCAATTTTATTTTTTCATTTTTCGAGGTCGGCCCTGCTTCCTATGTCCCACCCAAAAAGACACTTTCAGGATATGTTTGGTCCACAGAACTGATGAAATTGAAATTGAATTGAGAGCTGAAATTCTATGGAATTGATTTGGAATCTTGGATAGAATTGAGTTCTTCAATTCCAATTCTATAGTTTGAATTCTGTGTACCAAACAGAACCTAATTGTCATTTTTGTTATCTCGCGCGCCCAAAAGGAATTCCTACCAATCATGACGTAATTAATTTATCTTTTCAATTCCAATTTCTATTCTTTTATCACTTTTACACTATCTCTTTTTCTTACTTCTTCAGTCTTCTTTAGCATTGTTTGCATGAGGAGAAAAAATGAGATGTAAGAAAATGAAGAGAAAATTTGATACGTACCTCGTACCTGATAAGGAAGAACTTCGTACATTCTTCAAACTTCAGAAAAAGACAGACGAAGAAGAGAAGAAAATCGCGCTGGGCACGCCGAAGGTGAACGAGAAATTAGGGTTTGGAATAATTGTATATATTATGATTAATATTATGACAAGGCACCCTATTTATAACATAGATCGAGAAACTCCAATCCTATGACTACGTTTTATTACTTGATGGTTCAAGAAAAACATTAGGGCCCATTTGGTACATGGAATTGGAATTGAATTGGAATTAAAATTCCATGAGATTCAATTTCATATAATTGAATTCGCCAATTCCATTTCATTTTTTGCACTACCAATTCTAAATCCACATAATTTTTGTGCTATCAAACACAAAAATTGGAATTGAAGTCCTCAATGCTAATTCCATAGTTTGAATTCCGTGTACCAAACGATGCCTGAGATAAAGAAGTGTAAAGAAATCCTCGTCCACGCTCTATACGTCATCATGATCGCTGCTAGCATTCCTATCAAAATCATATATTAATGTTTGAATTTATAAAAATGAGAAGAAAATAGGAAAAAAGAGAAGAAAACTTCTATTGGGATGGGAAAAGAATGAGAGGAAATAAAATAAAGTTTATCTTTAAACCAAACCGGTGAAAATGCTTTGATTTTGTGTCTTCTTACCTTGCATTTTCTTTGTTTAATTTTTCCAAGCATCCAAACGGAAAGGATATGTTTGGATGAGAAAAGAAAATAAAAAGAAAGAAAATGAGGAGAAATTAGAAGGAAAATAATTGGTGTTTGGATAGATAGAAAATAAAGAGAAAATAAGATGGAAAATCTTTTCCTCTCCTTGTGCACTTTTCTCTTCGGTGCTAGGGAGAAAATTTTGAAGGGAAAAGTCACCCTCACTTTCTTTCTTTTTCTCATTTTCTTTTCTTTCCAAACAAGAGAATTTATATTGGGATTTGTGTTTTCTCTTCCTCCATTTTCTTTCTATCCATTTTTTCTCCTTCCAAACAAAGCAAAAGTCAGGGTTAATTTAAAAATTATTCAAAAAGTAGGGGTAGATAAGCTGAAATAAAAAAAGAGAGTATAAAAGTAGTTGAAACCTTTCCAAAAAAAAGCTAGAATGTCTTTTGGTATGGAAAAAAGTATTTGTGTAATTTTAGCATTTAAAAAAAACTATTCTCATATACACTTTATATTCCTTTCAATTCATCTCAAATTAAATTGTCTATTTACTATTAACATAGTTAAACTTTATTTACTTTTTTCTTTACCTATTTTCTGTAGTCATCTGATCGCCATCACTATTTGTATAGATCTCTTGATGTAATTTTAAATATTTAGTTTTTATTTTTTTTAATTTTATATCGTTTTTCATATAAAATAATTTGAATTGGGAAGAGGAGATTAATATATTTTCGTGGCTTCATGCTTGCAACAACAAAGAATAACTAACTCATCCAGTCGGTTTTATGTTTAAGCTATATGTTCTTCCCATTAAATTACCGTTTTAAATGAACTAATTTCGAGAAAGTTTCTTTTATTTAATTTATTTCAAAATATTTAAAGTCATTCTCCATCTGATCCACATTATATTAGCAGAAAGGTGAGATCCTCATAATATATTGTCCAGAACCAATAAGTTTGACCGCTACTGGGGACTGGTAGCATTTTCCGTATCATAAGATCAGCCGATGATTCTTTTTCTAAATATATGTAAACAGACGGCCCGATGAGTATTTATGGTTTTAGGCCGTATAACCTTAAAAAAAGAACACCAACCCCATACATATACTGCTCCAATAACATTTAATTTTCGGAGTACTACGTAATTAAAATACACCTTTAATTAGCGGAATCCGACAGCACTTAATTAGTTATTAGAGCACTAATTAATTATTGGCTAGGCGAAATGGTGAGACGACGACGTGTTGCCGAAATTGTAGGAGGAGTTGAGGCTGAGCTCGAGAGACGCTGCGGCCGCCATAGTGCCGCCGCCGTGCTGGTCGGGGTTGGGGTAGTAGCACCCGCCGCCGCCGATGCCGGCGGTGATGTGGTGGTCGGCGTGGACGGGGAAGAGCGGGAGGGTTTCCGGCTCCTTGTTGTTGTCGTAGTTGTTGTTGCTGTCTGGGTCCACATCTTCTAGGGTTTCTTGATCCTCGTCAGCATGGGGGTGGTGATGAACGGTCCTGATCTTGTGATCGAGGAACGGGTGGTAGTACTGGGCTGCTGAGGCGGCGTAGGGGTGGTGGTGCTCTATCCCCACCCACCCGTAATTCCCCGCCGCCGCCGCCGCCACGTATCCTCCGTTCCCGTTGCCTCCGCCGCCCGCCGATATCGAGCAGTTCTGCTTTTTTTTATTTTTACAACAAAAAAAAAAGAGAAAAAGTTAATAAATTTCGCCAGCATAAAGAACTTATGTCCCACACATTAATTACCAACATCAACATCGAACGTAACAAAGCAAATGTAACATGAAAACAAAAAGCAAGAAAAAAGTAGACCAAATTTTAATTTTAACACATGATAATTCCTCCTTAATTAAAAAAACACATGATAATTTTAAATTTTTAATTACTACTGCAAATATTTACCCTAAAACTCCTCTCCATTGCAACAGTGCTCCCATAGCCATAATTCCCAATCTGACCCACAGTTGAAGCTGGGAAAAAAAATCAAATTAGCACCATATAAATCATGAATTAATTAAGTAAATTTATGCTAGAAATACATTATATGTTCTTTTTTTTAGGAAATCAGTTTAATTTATGAAAGGGTTTCAGTCACTTGAGTTAGTTATACTCTTAATTAAGGAAGTGATGACATTTAAATGTTCTTCAATTAGGGTCTCAAGTGTGAGTGGATAAAATTGAATAGAAAATGTGGAATTTAAAATAACAAAAAAAAAAAAAGAAACCTTGAGGAATATTGTTGAAGTTAGAGCAGTGATGATCAGCAGATCTCCAAACGCCTCTCTGCATTTGCATGGAGAAGGCGGCGGCGGCGGCGGCGTCCGGGGCGGCGGCGGTGGTGAGGCGCTTCTTCTGGCGCTCGCGAGCCTTGTGGTTCTGGAACCAGTAAAAGACGTTCTTGCCCTCGATCTTGCCGTACTGCCTCAGCTTGGCGGAGATCCTCTGAATCTGCTCGGCGCTTGGGGACCTGACGCCGTTGTTGTAGTACAGCTCCTTCAGGATCCTTATCTGCTCCGTCGTCGGCGTCCACCGCGTGCTGCTCTGCCGGCATATGTACCCCGCGGCGGCGCCGCCGCCGTTCTTGTTCCCGCCGCCGCCGTCTTCCAGCTGGTTTCCGTTACTCTGGGTTTGGATTTGATGGAGGTGGTTGTGGTTATGATAGTAGTGCTGAGGCTCCATTGGAGGAAGTTAAAAGTGTTTGGTAGTAGATGGTGGAAGAAGAAGAAGACAACAAGTAGGTAGAGAGAGACTAGAGAGAGAGAGAATTAGACAGAGAGAGAAGTGTAAGTAGTGTTTGTGTGGATCCGAGTTGAATATATGCATGGAAGAGGAGAGGGGTTATTATAAAGAAACTTAAAAATGGATGAACCTCATCTCCAAGATCTTTTCGAATCGGCTAGTCAGTCTATTGAGATGAGATAAATTACATTTTAATTATAGATTTGCAAAAAAGAATGAAGTCTGCACGTGATAGTTCAAAATCTAGTTGTCAAAAATCGTACTTGAATATTATCTCTCAAATATTTTTTCTTTTGTCAACTCTGCAACGTCTACTTGAAGATTAGAGTTATGCTGTATATTACGGATCGGAGTACTATATTTTAAAGAAGTAATGATCCTAGGACATTTTTAATTATTACTCCCATCATATCCCAAAAAATTACTCGCATGTTCTCTTGGTGGGTTTTTTTTTAAAAAAAATGTTTATTGAATTTTTTAGTTTCCTTACAAGTGAGGAATGTGGTTTCACAAGATTTTGTCCTGTTTAAAAAAAAATAAAAAATGAGCACTTTTATTAAATTTCGTGAAAATCAAATTGGGCATAATTAAACCAAATTGGTACGGGCCAATTACTGTAATTTGACAAATTGCTCATACATACTCCCTCCGTCCCATAAAACCTTTTTCCTTTCTTTTTTTATCCGTCCCACAAAATACTTCTCATTTCTATTAAAAAAGTCACTTTTATCCCTTACTTTTTCATACCCTAACTATCACATCATACCTTTTTACTAATAATCTATCCATCAAATCATACTTTACCCATTACATCAAAGGACATTTTTGGAAATTCAATACCAAAATACACTCCCCTTAAATCCCTTCTAAAAAGCAAAACTCTCATGTTTCACGGGATGGAGGGAGTATCAAACATGTTCCTTTGTCAAAGAGAAATATTAGAAATAAAAAAATAATGTTACTTAACACATTTTAAGTTAATCATTTCACTTTTCTTTTCAGTTTGACTAGAAAAAAATAATATTACATCTATCGCCCTTAGCTAACTAGTTTTTGTTAAATTTTTAAATCACCATTCGTGAAGTATTTAATTATTTATTCGTTGAAATTATACTACTCCGTATAAAATTGGGAGTCAATCCTAATATTTATTGAGTGTGATTAAACTCAGATTTACTTCTATGTGATCCCTACCAACACATGAATCATAATATAAAAAAATAACAAATGTAAATGTTAGGATTGTAACAATATTATATTTAAAGACTAAAAATAAGTTACTCCCTATTAAGAAAACTTTATTTTCAAAATTGATTTTCAAGAGCTGAAATAAAATAACCAATGATAAAATCATGAGCGTATCCTAGCTAGCTAGGCGAATACTGGCACATAATTCTATCGCAGTAAAACTACGGAGTTATATTTTCGGAGTAAAAATATTCTGTTAGGTGTCGGTTAATCGCCGTAGGCCTTTGATTAATTACTTCAGTTTATACTTTATACGTAGTACTTTACTCTATAGAATATTAAAAAATGTTAATAAACGGTGCAACGTTAATCTCTGAACATTTTTTAATGTTGATCTCTGAACATTAAAAATGTATTGATTACCCTTTAATTTTCAGAAATTGCATGGTTACCATGAATATAAAAAAATGCATCAAATACTTCTGAACTCTTCAAAAATTATTACACGGTTTACCTCTGAACATTTAAATAAAGACGATAACTTTGGGAAGAGTACTTTGAAAAACTCACAAGAGTCAGATGAATCATACTCACAATTTCTATGTGTGGGAGTAACATACTCCCTATCAAACATTTTTGGACCAACGGTGCAATGTTTTAAATTGTTTAGAAATATTTGTTTTTTTAATATTTAGGGGTAAATCGTGTAATTTTTGAAGAGTTCGAAGGTAAACCGTGCATTTTTTAATGTTCATGAGTAAAGCATACAATTTTCAAAGAAATCGGGGGTAAGCAACGTATTTTTCTCATTTTCTCCATTTTAATCTATCATCATTAATGATTATTGAACCTGTAATTATTTATTTGGAAGAGTTGCATTTGTATCCTCAAATCACAAGGTCTTTGACTAGATGTTTATTTTTAATTTTTATATAACCATATTATTATGAATTTAAACTTTAATTATTTTAATCCTTATTTTAGTGCCAAAAACCTTGTAATCTGATGGTATAATATTGTGGCTATTCCAGATGAGAGGTCAAATTTGAACTTTAATGGGACGGGGAAATAACATAACTCTCTAGTTAAGAGAAAGAAATATTAACAGATGTTACATTGGAAAAAGTGCACTCTTTACTCCCGAACTCTTTGAAAATTGTACGGATTTTCTACCACACAAGTCAATGGAAACGTTCAATAATATATGCCATACATTTTAGCACTAGACTTCAAAATGAATTTAATAAATGATGTCAAGTTCAAGGTTTGTTTGTGTTCTTATGATGTCAAATTACTAAAAGACGACATTTATTCAAAAAGAAAGCAAGCATTGAATGTTACTGGAGTAATATTTTTGAGATTCAATTGTTTTTTGTATTTTATTAATTCATATATATAAATATGAAGCTACTCTACGCTATAAAATGAAAAGAAAGGAAGCATTGAATGTTACTTATAACTTGGAGAATAAAAATTCATCAGTGTTTTGAAAACAAAACAAAACAAAAACCAAACCAAAAAGAACAAGTGTGTGTGATTGTACTTCTGCATTAAATGCTATATTACCATATCCATTTGTTGCAAAAAAAATAAAGTGAAATAAAATGAAACAAAAATAAAGTTTGTTAGAGAGGTGAGGTGAGAGACGATAGAAAAAAAAAGATGAGCTCCATTTCCGAGAGTCCTCTCAGACTCAGCTGATTGTCACTTAGATGAGGTAAATTGGACTTTAATCACATATTGATGACAAAAAATAAGGCTTGCACCTCATACTTGCAGAGGCTTGATGCTTAGCATGTATAGTTGCCTACCAGAGCAGTACAGTCCTTAGCTTGAGGGGTTTTACCCCGAGATGAGGAGATGATATAGAAAATGGATGTGTGTGGGGGTGAAGTGTGAAATGGTTAGGTCTGGGGAAGAGCACATGGAGGTGATAAAGAGAGGAAATCAGAAGGGATATCTGGAAGAGAAGGACTGATGAAGTTGACACACCATGGGACTCTACAATTTCGTTAAATTTAAGGGACTAAAATGAAAGAAAGAAAGATATACGGATAGAATGAAATAATTACATCCCCTCCATCCCTCTCTCCCGTGGGGTCCCACAAAAATTATCCCATTGTAAAGATAGAGAATTACTCCGTATTTCTTGACTCCTTTTGTTGAATTTATTTACTCTGATCCATTCTTTTCAAAATGAATAAACCTAAAGTTACACTAAAATAGGTACCTTATTTGTACATCAGACAAATGCATACACTTAATTTCTATGGATCACAGACACCAAGTGTCCATGTTTGCCCTGTGTATAAATGAAGTACTCATTTTGGTGTTTCAAAAAAGGTGGAACACCCACCCCAGACGCATCCACACCTCCTGTCTAATGTGCACAAGAAATTATTACAAATAATAGACATTCACATTATCGCTGTCGTGATTCAACCCTAACATCAGTGGGCTTGATATCCTCTCATTGGACCAGTTGAGTTACTCATGCAGGCTACTCCATTCGTTTCCATTTAAATGGGATGTTGTCGGTTACAGGATTTAACTGGAATTATCATCAACTCAATTAAATTGAAAATTGGTATATAATTTAAAAATGAAATTCGTATATTTAAAAAATTACTCTATCCGCCCGCCATAGATCTTTCCAGAAATTTATTTATTCTCTACATTTCAATTTAAATTGGTTGTTGTCGTTTACATGCATGATTTAACTGGAATTATTATCAACTCAATTAAATTGAAAATTGGTACAGAATAAAAAAATAAAATTTATATATTTAAAATGTAAGTCCGCCATTAAAAGGGGTTAATCAGAAATGAGGGGAGAGTTTGCTTGGATGAAAAGGAATGACAAAAAACGTTGCAATGATGATTGTAGTTCTGCAAGGTAATTAATACTGTAAGACCAGAGAGGTGAAAAAAATAAGAATTATGCTATGTGTACCCCAAGGTTTGTATCCCAATTTGTACCCCGCAGTTTTGCACCAATACTTTGTGTTGGTGTAAAACTAATTTTTGTTAAACGCACCAACATTTGTGTCCGTGTGAATTTTTATTAACGCACCAACACTTGTGTCGGTGTAAACCATCGAAATGTTTGTGCAAACCTGTGGTGTACAAATGAGGTATATTTTTTGGTGTAAGTGTAGCATGGTCCAAAAAATAAATACGAATGAAATGTGGGGGCAGTTCATAAAATATACGGAGTATATATGATGATGCTTTATTTTTGGATGTACTAAAAAGTGTGAATTGAAAGATGAACAAGAGATAGCTAGGGTGATGATTCTGATTGAATGAATGAAGTGAATGTTTATTAGGAGTATTTTTCCAAATCATATATAGCTTAATTTGATTTCTTTTTTTAATTATATAATTAGTAGTATTGTGTCTGTGGGAATAATATTTTACTTTTTTTATTTTCAAGCAAGCTGAGATTTAAATGCTTTAAATTGTATATTTACGAAAATCTCAAAGTGTGACAAATTTGGAATTTATTTTAAAATATAGAAATATTGTATGCTACACATTTACTTTCTTTAAAGAAATTGGAAAAAGTATAAATTTAATTTGAAACAAACATAGAAAAAAGTGTTTTTTAATGGAAAAGTTAATTATCACAATCTATATGAAAAAATGTACTCCCTCCGTCCACAAATAAACTTTACATTGCGCGTTACGATGTTTGACTGAAGTTATTTTCAAATCATTTTATATGAAAAATGATGTAGAATTGAAAAATAAAAATTACATATTAAAAAACTATATCAAAAGATCTACAAAACTAGAGGTGACATGACTATATTATTTTATCAAATGGGTGACGAAAATAGGCCAACAAAGTGAATAAAGTTTGACCCTGTGAAAAGTAAACGTAAAGTTTATTTGTGGACGGAGGGAGTACTTACTATATTTTTTTTTTTTGATCAAAATAAAACAATCATTCCATTAAATATCAAGCGAAACTAGGAGGGGAATCCCACTCCCGAAATTGAGTCCCGGCTCTTCTTGCTAAAGAATGAGCCTTACTATTACATTCCCGACGAACAAAAGATAAAGTAATAACATCGAAGAACGCCATAAGCGACAAGCAATCATCAACAAAAGCACCAAAGTAAGAACGATAGGAAGCTTCATTTCCCTCTTGCAAAGATGTGACCAAATTCAAACAGTCCGAGAAAAGTAGGACCTCCCTAAACCCATTATTTTTAAGCCAAGATAATACCTCTTTGCAAGCCATGATTTCTGCCATCGCTGGGTCTTGGGTGCTTTGAATCGGCCCGTTAAAAGCAGTTCCAAATGAGCCGTCTGCTAATAATATATAGCATCCAAAACCAGCAGTACCTTCTTGAGGAAAGAGTGCGGCATCGAACCAGCAATAAATACTCCTTGGCGACTGTTGCACTATATCCGTTGTTCCTGTATGAGTGAGCTCTTCCGTTTGACCAGCTTGAAACCGATGACACCATGCTTTATACATGTCCATGGCGAGTCTACTTGCGGAACTGGGTAGAGGAGCACTCTGATTCCACACGACATCATTTCTGACCTTCCAAATGCTCCAGATTGTCCAGCACACGACTTGCAAATCTCCAAGCGAGTCCACCTGGGTGCGTGCCTGAAACCAAGAAACAAAATTAACAAAAGAATCCTGACCTCCCCCCTTACCCGTCAAGCTCCACACCACTTCTGTGAACGGACACCTCAAAATGAGATGATCCACAGTCTCCCCATCAATACCACACAGAGGGCACTTATCTACAATCTCCACTCTTCTCAAATTGAGAGCTCCCATGGTGGGAAGAACTCCCCTTAATGCTCTCCAAATACATACTTTCACTTTTGGAGCAACTGGAATACGCCAGAATCTGCCCCAATTTGTAAACGTAGCGACATGGGTCGCCTCTCCCATAAGCTTGCGGTACCCATCTTTAACTGAATAATTACCCTGCAGATTCCCTCGCCAATACCAGCAATCACTTCGCATCAAACAAGAAGGAATACAAAGTATGCGGTCTACCACCCCGTGTGGCAGATTTGCCATAAGCCGCAGCTCATCCCAGACTACTGTGTTTTCTACAAAAAAATCACATACTAATTCATTTGCCCCATGGTGCCCTTGTTTATATTGCCTCAAACACTCCCCACCAGTAAGCCACGGGTCTTCCCAGAATCTGGTATCCCTCCCGTTACCCACCCGACGACACACCCCTTCTCGAATCAAATTCTGTGCCGTCAAAATACTCCTCCAACAGTAGCTTGGAGTATTTCCAAGTGAAGCTTCAACAAAGGAGGAATTAGGGAAATACCTCGCTTTGTAGACTCGGGAGACCAAAGCATCAGGGGTCACCATGAATCGCCATCCTTGTTTCGCCAGGAGAGCCACATTAAAAGCAGAAAAATTTCTAAAGCCCATCCCACCAAATTTTTTAGGGACTGTCAGCCTCTCCCAAGCCATCCACTTGATGCCTCCACCATGATTACCTTTGCCATTCCACCAAAAAGAATTCAAGAGATTTTCAATGGAATGACATAAAGACAGTGGGAGTAAAAATACACTCATGGCAAATTGTGGCATTGCTTGTGCCACCGATTTAAGTAAAATTTCTTTACCTCCTTTTGAAAGTAGCTTTTTATTCCATGATGTCACACGTTGACGTATCCGGTCTGCGATATAAGAGAAAACTGCTCTTTTGTTTCTACCCAAGAAAGAGGGTAAGCCCAGATACTTGCCAAAGTCTTCGGCTTCTGTAACTTTAAAGAAGCTCGAAATCCATCTTCGAACGGCCTCTGGTGTGTTCAAGCTGAAGCATACACTGGATTTATGAAAATTTATAACCTGCCCCGAGAGCCTTTCATACTCCGAAAGGCACAGAAGTACTTGACTAGCCTCCTCCTCAAGAGCCCGAAAGAACAAGAGGCTATCGTCTGCAAAAAATAAATGTGAAACTGATGGTGCACCCCTCGCCACTCTAATGCCACGGATCAGACCCCCCCTCTCAGAATTTTGCAGCAAAAGAGAAAGGCCCTCTGCACACAAGATGAAAAGATAAGGGCTAATAGGGTCACCCTGACGAAGCCCCCGAGATGGGACAATCTCTTCTGAGAGGGAGCCATTCACAAGAACTCTGTATCTAACAGTGGTGACGCACATCATCACCAAATTAATCCATCTGTCCGCAAAGCCCAACCTCTCCATCATTTTCCTCAAGAAACTCCACTCCATGCGATCATATGCCTTGGCCATGTCCAATTTTAATCCGACCCAACCAACTTTCCCAACTTGTTTTCTGCGAAGGAAGTGTCCCATTTCTGCCGCCAAAAGAATATTGTCGGTAATAAGCCTCCCCGGGATAAAAGCTGATTGAGTCTCAGAAATAATATCCTTCAACACTCTTTTTAAACGGTTAGCTAGCACTTTGGCCAACGCTTTATAAATGACATTGCAAAGGGCAATTGGACGAAGATCAGCAACTGTCTCAGGGGTTTCTTTTTTCGGGATGAGCACCAGCGTTGTATCATTAAGTCCCACTGGGAGAACACAGGACTGAAGACATTTTAATACAAAGTCTACCACATCTTTCCCCACTATGTTCCAATGACTTTGATAAAAAGCGGGGTTCATCCCATCAGGACCTGGTGACTTATCCGGATGCATGGAGAAAATGGCCCTTTTCACCTCCTGTTATGTAAAAGGACTCAGAAGAGTCAAATTGAGGGCGTTAGAAATCTTCTGTGGAATAGTAGTAAAAAAGTTGGAATTACCACTACCCTCTGAACAGAAGATGTTATTATAGTAGCCATGGATTTCTCTAGCCAAGTCCTCTCCAGTACACCAAGTTCCGTCCATACCCTTTAGCTTTTCAACCAAATTTTTCTTCCTCCTGTGTGAGGCATACTGATGAAAGAAACGTGTATTCGCATCCGCAGAGCGAAGCCAATGTTGTTTGGCCCGTTGACGCCAGTAAACATCCTCCTGTTCAAGCAATAGATGGAGTTTAGCGTCTGCCTCCCTGAACTTTCGGAGGCCCTCTGTATCTCTTTTATCACGAAATTTATTCACCTCCGCCTTTAAACTTTTTATTTTCTTACCAAACCTATGGAAGTGTTCTCC